ACGGGGCCGAGGGGGCTCTCCCCATCCGTCTATGGGCGGGGGGGGGGGGGTCCCCCGGCACTGTTTTTTGAGCACACTTTCTGCGAGGTAGGCGCAGCAGGGTGTGCTCTGTCAGCCGCAGCCCAGATTTCTCCTCGGTCACAACCGGGTTAAAGGAGAATGTGGGGCAGCAGCTGCTGACCAGAAAAGCCGGTCAGGGGCAGTAGGGTGGAATGGTGTTGGACGACAGTGCGCGTATACATCAGGGCTCCACCCACTGTACCCATAGAGTCCAGTAGAGGGCGGAGCCTGTGAGAGATATAACGTTGGGTTACGTATTGTAACCCTTGTTATATTAGCACAGGCGGAGCCCTCTACTCTGGGCACTGTCTGTCCTATTCCGCTCGCTGAAGAGAGGTATAGGATGATAGTCAGGAGGCGAGGCCTCTTTTTATACGGTGTGATGCGCGCGCATTCAGTTAGGCCCGCCCTAGGCCGGCTACGTCTATAGAAGTCTCATGCCCCTTTCACACCGGCGCTTTTCCAGCTCCAGCTCCGAGCCGGAGCTGGAAAAGCGCCGGTTTTTCCTGTTCACACCGCAGCGGCGCCGCGTCATAGCTCCGGAAAGCGGTTCACTTCCAGCTCCAAAAAATTGTCGGTCTAGAGGCAAGAGCTTCGGAGCTATGACGCGGCGTCGCTTACGTCTCTCTTACGTCGAGGCGTGCAGGAAACTAAACCCACCTCCCCGTGTGATTCTGTTTATTTGTACCTTACTTTGACCATCCGTTCGCTGTTATTGATCATTGTGGAGAGCAGGCAGACGTTTTGGTTATTATTATAGCAGCTATCGGATGGAATCAATACATGGGCTGCACAGGTTGTCATGTCCGACTATCACAAGTAGAATCATAATGAAAAATACGCCGGTAAAATGTGCCTGTAGAAAACGGCTTAGCAAGTAGTCAGTTTAGCTTCGGTTGCTATGCTAACATCACCCATGTTATACCAGAGAAACTTTCATAACAGCGTTGTGATGCCAAACAGCGTCAATTCAGAATCAATATAAATGTTTTTTATTTTAAAGAAAATTCAGATTTTACATAGTAAAAAACTGTAAATTATAGTGTCCGTCCAAAAATTATTTTTTACAGATAGTGAAAACTACCCTTGGATGATGGGTTAGTAGACTAAAAGCTTTAGGAATCCAAAGTACAACATATAATAAGTACCCTGTATCAAGAGTGATGCAAAACAAGTGAAATTTGACCTTTTTAGAGAGATTTAGCCAAAAACTGGGCCATCTGGGGTCATTTGGGTGGATTTGACCTATCTCTGGCCCCCCTTGCTCGATCTGGTTGGTTGACATACCCTTGTGACCGTTAGAGCCAATAGAATCGAAGGAGGATACTCACATAGACACACATTGTAAAGAAAAAATGTTGCCGCTTCGCGTGTGGAAAGCGAAACTAAACTGGAGGAATGTCTCCTTCTGGAGTTTGGAAACTAAAACGCAGTTGTATTGCTTATGGATTATCAGAAATAATTTCAAAGAAGGCACAGACACATAGGATGAACCTATGGATTAACTGCAGCATCGTTTTTTTATCGTTTTAATGCCATTGAAGACCACTTTTGACCAAGGTAAGCCATATTTACATGTTTAGCTTCTTGGCTCCACATGTGATGATGTACGCTTTCGTTGATAGCGTCGCGAATGTTTATCACTGAGTGTTGAGGTGGGCACCGTTAGATTCAGTGTCTCCAGGACACCAAAAAATAGTGTTTGGTTGTGCATCTAGGATAAGTAATAAGGGAGTTCTGAGTGAGTTTATGTGCCTTTGTCGGTCCCGTTTTTTCGATCGAGGCTAATTCAGAGGCTGAGTGCTAGCATTGTGGGTTTTTTTTGAAAAAAAAAATTAAAAAGATCAGTTAGCTGAGTTTCTTCCCGTTACATGGATATAACACATTCATAGTTTTATTCAATATTAAGATTCCTTAGACGTTGTTTCCTGCAAATGACGCGTTTATCCGCCCGGTACCGGGGGGAAGGCGTGAAACAGGTTAAGGGGAACTGGGGATATGTATCAGCTGCTTGTGTGACAGTCAGACAGTGAATACTTTAGAGCCGTGTGAGCTAACCCGGAGCTAACGGGAGAATAAACTCCCGTTGAAGAGCAGCCAGCAGTGCAGCGGTCGGTAAATGCCGCTGAAACACATTAATAAACAATGAACCACGGCACTCTGGAGAAAAGTATAAGGTTGGAGAAGTCGTTATTTAATTTAATCTGGCTTCGTATGATTAAAAGCAACACGATCATCGACCCGACGCAGTCCCCCCCCCCCGTTGTTGTTGTGAGCTCCGTTGGGGAGAAAATCAGCGATGTAAACGGTGACGTCATGACGCAGCAGCGGCAGCTGGGCGGTGTGAACAGAGCGGGAGCTGAAAAGGGAAACCGGAGCTGAACCAGAAAAGCTCTAGCGAGGAGCTAGAAAGGGAAAAGCGCTGGTGTGAAAGCCGCATCAGTGGGAGAATGCACGCAGGATAAGGTAGTACCCATAGAGTCCAGTAGAGGGCTCCGCCTGTGCTAATATAACAAGGGTTACAATATGTAACCCAACGTTTTGTGCGCTGTGATGATTCGGCGGTAGGCCTACCTTTAGTAATGAATATTAAATGTTGTGAGGAAATCTTTCCACCAATAATTCCAATAAGTAATCCAAAATGTATTCACTTCAGGTTTACGAAAGTAACTGTAATCAGATTACTCGTTTTTCAAATGTAACGCGAGCTGAATACAGTTACTTGATTTTTGTATTCTGATTACGTAACGCCATTACATGTATTCCGTTACAACCCAACCCTGTTAACACTGTACATATTCTTGTTTGCCCGTGGGGAGATGACGAGGCTCCATTAAAAAATAAACCTATTTTTTGTGAATTACTGAGTTTAGGCACGTTAATAAAGTTTTAATGAAGTTGACTACGGCAAATTCATGATTGTTAGTGCGTTCATGTCAATTCGGCAAACATATGATAGATTAAATGATCGTGAGGATGATGATTAAAAATCGTTTGTTTGAGCCGGGCTGGATTTCCTGATGAAAAAACAAACCGATTGTTTTTGTATAGTTGTGGTACGCCAACGTGGATTAAACAACATTATTTTGTTAAATAAAAACATGGTGATGTTTTGTAAATGATTACATGTCTCTTATGTAGCACAGAATATGATCCTATCCGTGACATATGGATCTTAACAAAGATCCGCTATATCAGATACCTCTACTGTAGATCTATCAGCTGTTTATTTCACATGAGTTCCAGTGTGGCAGCTTTTTAATCACTGCTCTCCCTGGTGGATCCATGATCCATTGCAGCTGGTTTCATTATAATTTAATTTATTTATCAAGGGGGCGTATCAAGTCATGCGGGGGGTTTTCCTTTCAGCAGGGGCCCACCCCGTGCAGATCACGGACCCACATGGGTAGGGGCGTCCGAAATGAGGTGCAACATCTGTATATGAAGTAGATAGATCTGCTTATCACTGAACATGCTGCTACTGCACTATGGGCTTGATTTGGCCATCTTATTTTTAATCAAGTACTTTTCTGTCTTAGCAAGAGCTTTAGATTTTAAATGTAAATGTTTTATTTTCTTTAGTATACTGACATATATATTTATAATATATGTTTTTTTTTATGTATGCATATTTGCACATGCACTGGAGTCAGAGTTCCCCATTTCGTTCCACCCTCATGTATGACATGTTCTGGAATGATAATAAATTATTATGATGATTATTCGTACGAAAACCTAGGATAAAAAATGTGTCTTCAGTATCTTCGGTAAGCCTCTGTGTAGGCGCCATAATGCTACTTAGCCCAAGTTCATTATTTGTATTATTATTATTTGTTTACGTCACTTTTATTTGTTTGTTTGCAGTTCGGCGAAAAGTGAGGCAAAGTGACGTCACCCCATTCAAAGTGAATGGGCAGAAGCGTTCCAAGATTTTGTAACGCTGCTGCGTGGACGGGCCGTGAGAGTCACGCAATTAACCCATATCTCACGCACTCACGCCACACTTGCCTTTCCTCACGCTAAGTTTTCGTCCAAAATAAATGTATATAAAAATAAAGTGAAGGAACAGCAAACCGAGCGGTCTACGAAATGAGACGGTCTTCTGGCTTAGTTCAGTAAAGATGGAACGATATTGGGAGATTCTGATTTCACGGATCAATAACTCATGAACAAAACGTTATTCAGACACAAATGACGTCTCCTAAGTACCGTGGTAAGGTTGACAACAAACTACAATCACATTTTGATCAAAAAAAGTTTACGTTTAAGTATTTGAATGTTATCCAAATACATAGTTAGCCTTGGCAATGGCACATAATCACCCACAACATGTTAATTAATTATGAGCTTACAGTGTTTCAATGTTAATATATATATAATAAAGTTTTGATATTAAAAAACATACCTCTAAAATTAAAAAATGAATTAAACTTCTCCAGTGGTGTTGCTTTATTCAAGTATTTGAATGTCATCTAAATACATGCTGGTAAAAGGTTAAATCAATACCAATGGTAAATAATATCTTACATTATTTAAATTACTGAAAGCGTTTTATACTTTTGATATTAAATCCATACATTTAGGGGTGGCCTGATTACAAGTTGTGTGTCAGCTCTAACATATATTAGTTTTTAGACACAAACATTATAAGCAGTTAGCATTTCAACTTAAAAATGTATTTTCAAGGGACGTGTGTTGCCTAGAAGCCAGCTATGTTACAGTTGACAGGTAAATGCAGCTAGTTAGCATCTTTGAATAACTCCCACTAACAGCTAACTAATGCAAATGGTTATTTGTGCAGGACAGCAGCTGCAGTTAGCTAACGGAACGACAGGCTATACTAGCTAACCTAGGAGCAGTGAAGCTCTCGGGCAGTGGCGTCCCCTCGCGCTCCTGCTCTGTTCTGATGTGACCCCTCAGCAGCAGGAATATCCGCCTACCTCCGTCCTCACAGCCCAGCTCCGTGTCTGAGAATGCCTCCAGGTCGTCTTCCTCGTCGTAATAACCGACAGCCGAGTCCTCCTCCTCCCCGCTCTGTGCTGAGTCCCTCTCACTCGCCATGCTCACTTCTTCTCCTGTCCTCCAGTTTTTGGTGAGGATTTAAGCCGCTTGTGGTGAACAACTTTCCCTCATTGTCACCTGATACTTGAGAGCCATGCTGCTGAACTTTCACCCCCCCCCCCCCCCCCACACACACTCCAGTCCTACCCGCTGCCTGCTCTGGCTTTATGGATGAAACATAATCAAGTGGGGTGCTTCGGCATGGTGTAATGAAAGATTAAAAATAACTTGAGAGGATAAGCCAAGCTTTTAAATAGTTTGCTTCTTAAAATAACTCTGAATGCATGAATATACTCCACCTCCTATTCTAAAGAAGTGTAATGTGGCCAAGTTTGTATACATTACATCTTCAAAAGTGACAAATAATTCTGTAAAGTTATTTTTAGAAATGTGTCCCATCTTAGCCTGTTTAGCCCGAGAGCCCCTGGTGGAGGCGGCTGCGGGTTTCTTTTTCACGAAACTGTGTCTCAGGGCTTCTTAATATTTAAAAACCTATTAATGTGTCATACCAGATTAACGGGAAGAAACTCAGCTAACTGACGATACGAACCATTTTTACCAAAACAAAACACAAGTCTCATAAGAAGCGTCTAAATGACCCCTGAGCAAAAAAATGCTAACGCACTTACAGCACTCAAGGTAAAGATACCCTTATTACTTATCGTAACTGCACATACAAGATATCTGATTAAAGCTGAGATTCCACAGATTATATAGGTATTAGTATCATCACTGAGCGATCAGAACTCGCGACAGGGGAAGCAAACACAGACATCACAACACAGAAAAAATATTATTAATGTACCCCTTTTAGAAGGGAAGATATGGTCATTAGTTCTGGGAATGTCATTTTCGAGACTGAGACCTGAAGAACAGGCTCAGGGCTTAACAGTTTAGGGACAAAAAGATTAAAAAAAGCTCTCCATTATTGTATAAAAAATTATCACTTCTTAATAAGAAAATAAATTACATTTAATATAAAGTCCCTTGTAGATTGTAGGGAAGAGAGCAGACAACAGTAACACTTTTCAGATCTGTATTTGATCTGTTAATACCAGGTGCTTTCTTGTAAAAATGTAGAACGAGCTTGTGTGGAGGCTATTTTTATATAACATTAGAAAGACTGATTCTTATTATTACATTATAAGCTTATTGTGCTCATTTATGTGGCTGTGACTTTGGAATAAATAGACGTCTTTAGCTTGCAATACTAATGTAGCAAGGTCAGGTGCAGACACTGGAAGAATACAAAGAGTTATTCATAAACAGGACATCACTCCGGCCTTGAGCTTTGGGTGAGCTCCACTCCCACACATAGCTAGGAAGCAGCCTTATGAAGATTCCACTTTTTCTGTAGAAACGTTAGCGAAAACAAATTACATATGATGGTGCCAGAGTAGAGAGGGACTTCCACAGGCCGGCCGAATGCTGATTGGAGGATCATGTTGCCAAGAGACTTTTTTCAAAGTCTGCACCTACCAAAGAGAACCAAGTCTAAACCATGGTATCTCTTCAGCTAGTCTTGACCAATCATAAATGTACGGGCAACGCCCTGTGTAATAAAATGTATTGTCGCACGAGGTTCGAGGCTCTTTTCCGGAAAGTGTTTACAGACTAGAGAATGCAATTCCTGAAGAAATTGCTAGTGGGAATGCTTTATGCTGAAAAGCTGACGCTAAACTGCTATGCTGAAATGTAATGTGTAAGAAGAAAGTGAAGAATTTAGATTGAAATGATACATGAACACTAGGGGCTTGAATGTGTGATGAGTGAAGAAAAGAAAGTAAAAAGGCTTGGAAAAGCAGCAGAATATTTGAACTGCAAACTTTTGAACTAACTTGATGGTGAATGATCTGTCGCCATGGCAACGGCATTTGATGACACCCCATAATATGCTTAGATGCGTTGATGGCTGCATTGTTACCAAACCTGTGAAGTTTTGGGCCGTTTGGAACATTTTCACTGAAGTTATGAGAAAACCATGTTTCATGGCGAGCATTGTGTTGCCATGGCAACGGCATTTGAAGACACCCCATAATTGACGTAGAGCTGTTGAGGGCTGGACCGGTGATATACAAGCAAAGTTTGGGGGACGATCGGACCGTTTCCATTGGACTTACAGCGACATCGTGCTTCATGGCGACTGGTCTGTCGCCATGGCAACGGCATTTGATGACACCCCATAATACGCTTAGATGCGTTGATGGCTGCATCGTTACCAAACCTGTGAAGTTTTGGGCCGTTTGGAACATTTTCACTGAAGTTATGAGAAAACCGTGTTTCATGGCGAGCATTGTGTTGCCATGGCAACGGCATTTGAAGAAATCTCAAAACTGTCTCGTAGATGTCTTCACGGCTGGACTGTTAGCACACATGTGAATTTTGAGCACTTTTTGAACATTTTCATAGGAGTTAAAGGGACATCGTGTTTCATGGCGAGGGATGCGTTTCCATGGAAATGACATATGGTGAGATTTCAGATTTGGCGTAGAGCTGTTGAGGCATGGACCGGTGATATACAAGTGAAGATTGGGGGACGATTGGACCGTGTCCATTGGACTTACAGCGACATCGTGTTTCATGGCGAGTGGTCTGTCGCCATGGCAACGGCATTTGATGACACCCCATAATACGCTTAGATGCGTTGATGGCTGCATCGTTACCAAACCTGTGAAGTTTTGGGCCGTTTGGAACATTGTGTGTGAGAGAGAGAGAGAGTGTGTATGTCTGTGTGTCAGAGAGAGAGAGAGAGAGAGAGAGAGAGTGTGTGAGAGAGAGATAGAGAAAGAGAGAGTGTGTCTGTGTGTTTGTGAGAGAGAGAGTGTGTGTGAGAGAGAGAGAGAGGAGAGAGAGAGAGAGAGAGAGAGAGAGGAGAGAGAGAGAGAGAGAGAGAGAGAGAGCGAGAGAGAGAGAGAGAGAGAGAGAGAGAGGAGGAGAGAGAGAGAGAGAGAGAGAGAGTGAGTGAGTGAGTGAGAGAGAGAGTGTGTGTGTCTGTGTGTTTGTGAGAGAGAAAGAGAGAGAGAGAGTGTGTGTGTGAGAGAGAGAGGGAGAAAGAGAGAGTGTGTCTGTGTGTGTGTGTGTGAGTATGAAATGAACAGTGAGGAAATATCAGCCTGAAATTACAATGGGTTTTAATGGAGACATGTTGAAAGTTTTTGTCACTTCATGCCCTCAAGAGGCATTTTGTTTAATTATTTTTGCTTAATTATTTGTCATTTTTCAAGCTACGAGATGTTTTCCTACGTTTGTCATGAAAAATTATGTCTCAGGAATGTAGGGTTTGGGAATTATGGCAGTTTTAAAAAAAAATATGAAGGCAAATTTCAAGATTTCCTACCCTCTAGCTGTGACATCACGCACTCTAGTTAATGTTAAAATCTGAAGAAAGCCTCTTTACCAAGGTCTGAACAATGTTTAATATCTCTAAAAGTACGAATCAGATTTAAATGTTGTGCTACACGAATAATGTCAGAGAGATGTGTAACATTTTAAAGTTGGAATGAGGTTTCTGAGTGAAAGTATGAATGAACAGTTAGCAGTTGAAGTCGCATGAAAATTGTTCAAGTCTGAAGATTTTCTCCATTGACTTCAATGGTTAAAAATGTGATGAATTATGGGATGTATCTCTGGAATTATGAAAGTTATGAATGATAAAAGTAATAGCCATCGATTCCCGACAGAGCTGAACGTTTTGATGTTTGAACGGAGTTTCTGCGATGTTGAATGCAGGAGGAGAAGAGGTGCAAAATTCCGGCGGAATAATAATAATTTTGTCCGTACAATAACATATAGTTGGAATGCTGTATCAGCATTCCCACTAAATTACAGCTTTGCTGCCTGTAGTTTCTATGACGTGACGGAGTCCTTGGCCAAGTGAATATATATATTTTGCTCTCTTTTAATAAATAGTGAAACTTAGAAGTTGTCTGTCTTTCCTGGAATTTTGAACACAACAAAATTGGTGACCCACGACGTGATTCCAAAAAGACGATTGGGAACTCCAGACTTCGAGTCCGGGGACTGAAGGAGACCTCCTGGGATTCCTATCAACACTCACACGGGTTAAAGGTAAGCAGAAGCCTGTTGTTAATACCAAAATTATGCATAGGTAGAATAGGACTGTTACAAACTGTGAGTGTTGATGGAAGAAAGAGGAGGTAAAGTACAAATATAGATAACTGAAATGTGTAAAGAGCAAAGGATATATTTCTTGTAAATGTGCATGCCAGTGCCAGGGGTACTAAAACGTCAGGGACGTTGGGACGTGCCAGGGCCACTAAAAGCATCAGGGGTGCTGTGAAAGGCTCCACCACCGTGTGGAGGCTGTGTTTTGGGAAAAAAACTAAGAATAGGGCAAGTGATTGGATTTAAAGTAAGATATGTATAGTAAGTGAAGACTTTCTGGGAGAGCCTGTCAGGGACGGCATAGGTTAAAAAGGGTGATTACGTTAAGTCAGTGACGGCTGCTAATTGTCTCATTCCTTCCTATGAGCTATACTATGATATCCTAAAAATGGTGGCAGGGACAATTTAGAACAGAAAATATAGCATTTGGTTGCTAAAAGACTAAGATGTGTATGTTGTTTTGGTGTAAAAGATCAGGAAAAAATAGATGAGAAAGTTTGAAAATCTTGATGTGAATGAAAAAGGGAGTCAGACACTGTCTGTCGGGTGAAGCTTATTCCTGGTCAGGTGCTGCCATCTGGTGGCCAACAGGGTGTGGCACATAAGAAAGCGAGATTAATGATAAATTAAGGTTTGGCTCCATCATGTGGACAACTCAAGTCATTAGAATAAAAAATCGAAATGACTCAGTTACGCCTCTGGCGGACAAACACAGAATAGGCCCTCTAGGGCCCCATCGTGTGGACATAGTACTGCATTGCAAGCCATAGACATAGGGAATATAATTCAAACACACACACATAATCATAACTCAGAGACCCAAGAGCAAAGCACATTTAACAGTTAAATATTTCACAGCATTGATAAAAAATAAAATAACTGATATTTTGTTCACATTTAGCACAAACACAGAGATAATTGACACACAATATATGACACCTTGGGACGTGGGTACGGACTCATTGGGCGAAGACGAACA